AAGAGCTGTATCAGCGCGGAGTCTAGAAAACTAAAGCTGTGAAAACTGAAAAACAAGGAATGCTAAAATGATGCTCTTTCTCTCTGTATTAAGCAGAAATCAAAAGCAGCTTTAGGCTGAAGCACAATTTCAAGTCATTAGTGTTTCACTGCTGAAATGGCAAATACATGAATTTTTGCAATTTCAGAGTACCTACTTTGGAAAAAAAGCTGAAACAGTTTTGATAGCTGCCTGTGATTACTGTTACTGGAGGTTCAGTGTCTTGGCCAGGGGCTGACAGTCCCGGGGCAGGTCTGGCCCCGTTCCAAGCTCATGCGGCACCCACATCATGTCTGTCTCTGAAGCTGTGTGCTGATATCTCCTTGTGATCTCTCTGTGCCATTTTCCAGCCCAACGCCCGGCAGTAAGTCACCTGGAGAAGTGAAATCTCCAAGCCTGTAAGTGCTGCTGGACCAACTCCACGAGAGAACAAAGAGCTTACATCACTCCCATTTTTGTACTGTAGGTTTCACGGTGCATATACACAAAAGAAATTGTCACTGTCGATTAAGGCAATGGATGTCCCTGGTGTTTCACATGAAATCTTTGGTTGTAGGCTTGGAAATACTTTTCTTAAGAACTTTGACTGAATTAATTTTGCTGCAGTTAATAATATGTCTGATATCCTCCTGTTAGGAACCAGTGTAGGTTTTCTGTTTCTCGCACTGTAATTGAGCAGTGATTTACCCTTGGTATGTAAGTGTGCTGCAGGGGTGAGCTGTGTGCCTCAGTGCTGCACATCGGGGAGTGAGGTTCAGTTTGTATCACTAGGTGAGCAGTGCCTAGGCAGCAGGTAGATCAAAGGGTTAATTTAAAGGCAAAACAATGTAAACAAAGAAAAATCAATGAGATTTGGTTTATCTGCTGCTTTGCAGGTGCTTTAGCCTTTTTTTTTTTCTTTCTTCCTCTCTAATGTACACAAATCAAATGACAACATTTTGGGGAAAATAAAGCTGGAAGGTGAGTCAGTGAGCTTCTCCTCTGCTAACTTCTATGCATTTGATGTGAAAAGGGACAGTGGAATTTGAATGTGTACAAAGTCAAATGCGGAACTAGGTCACTTGGGTGGAGTGGTAGTGTCTTGGTCTGGACAATGAGAGATAGAAATGGGAGAGAGTTTAACCCTATGACAAGGATACCAGGATTTTGTTTTGAGACAAGGTGGTGGTAGGTGAGAATGGTGTACCTTCTGTGTCTCACTTTCAAGGTCCAGCAGTGGTACACTGGTTTTCTCCTTACTGGGGACCTAGGAAGTGACTGTTGGGCATGCACCCCTGTGTTTGTTTGCAAAATACTTAGTAATACAAAATCAGTACATAGTAAAAGCTATACTTTAATATGCAGGAAGCCACTAAATTATATGCTAAAGACATTAGTGTATCCTGTTCTTTAGTGATTAAACTTCTGTGCATGTAGCGTGTAGGATGAAGCACTCTGGTAATTGAACTTGGCTGGAGACAGTTTTGAGTTATGGATCTGGCTTCCCCAAAAGAATAGAAATGATGCAACATTTGCCCCAGAGTGAGATATTGCTGCTGGAAGAATAAGTGACTTAAGTGTTGAGAAAGCAGGTGTCAGTATAATGTGCTAAAGCAAAAACCAACTTTTACCCAAACATCTCATATTGTTTTGTTACCTGGTGCTGATTTAATTAATCAGCTGTAGCTAGCTCACTGAAATGGTCTTGTTCTTCCTCAAAGCCTTTTTAAAAAACGTTCTTTTGCTACCTAGGAAAACTCAGCTGAGCTCTATGAGCCTGGCCTAGCGAGCTGGCTGGTATTGCTACTTGCTTTTCCCAGTCTGTAAAGC